CTGTAGTTGTGCTCAAAACTACGGGGAAGTGGTCACTTCCGTACAGATTACTGACAACTTTCCACTGGAGTATAGACACAAGAGATGGAGATACTATGCTTAGGTCTATGGAGGAGTAGGTGTTATGTGCGAGATTATAATAGGTTGGTTCTTTTCTATTTAGGAGACATGCACTCGACGAGAAAAGAAACTGTTCAATCAGTTGACCTCGCGTGTCGCAACGAGAGTCTCCCCATAGCCTGCTATGCGCATTGAAGTCTCGAAGGAGAACATATGGCTCCAGAAGTTCATCAATTAAAGAGTATAAATCACGTTTTTGCAGCTGATAGCTAGGAGGAATGTAAATAGTGCAGATTGTGATCAGTTTATCAAAAAGAACCGCTCGAACAGCCACTGCCTCAAGGGATGTTTGGAGTTGTAAGTGTGTGCATGCAATTCCTTGATTCACTATGATGGCAACACCTCCGGATGATGTCATGGCATCATCACGGTCCTTTCGAAAAATAATCCAATTTACGCAGAAAATTTATGTGTTTTGAATTATGGTGTGTTTCTTGTACACACAGCACTTTTTGTGAGTGTTCGTGTAAGAGTTCTTAGATGTCGTCAAGGTTTTTGAGAAGGCCCCTGACGTTCCATTGTATAATTTGAGTGTTCATGGTGAATGTAAAATAGTGCTGTGTGAACGAAAAGCGAGTGGCTGTTTAGACGGGGAATTTGAGTTCACTTAACAGGGCCGTCACCGGGCCCTGTTATTTGCTTTTTCGTTTTCTTGGCGCGCTCCAAGGAGCCACGCCGCTCTTTCGGCACCAAGGGTACCGACGTATCCATTGCCTCCTCGGAGGCACTGAATGCCCGCACGTGCGGGCTGTTAGTTCGAATTTTGGGCCTCGCCTGGTGAGGTGAGGCCTTGAGACCAGAGGACCCAAGAGTCTCCGGCCTCGATTCGCTAGGAGGCGGAGTAGACTGAACTACTGCCGCCTTGGGGGCAGGCGCCACAGCCGACAGCTCGCTCTGCGCTGGCCGAAGGAGTGGCGAGGGCTGGTGCGGCGGTGCCCCCTGACGCGCCGCATCGCGTATGTAGGTCCATAGAATGGTGCTACTCTTCGCCGTGCTTCCTTTAATGAAATGTTCTCCTTCACCTTCAACGTAATTATTTCTTTTTCTTTTTTCCAGTATGTGCAGGAGCGTGAATATGCGGCATGGTTTCCTTCGCAGTTTACACAGTGTGGCGGTTGTTTGCAGTTCTCAGACACGTGGCCTAGGACTCCACATTGTGCACAAGTTTGGCGACCACGACAGGTTTTAGAGCCATGGCCATTCCTCCGGCATTGGAAGCAACGACGAGGGTTTGGTATGTACGGCCTGATAGATGTCTTCGTGTACCCTGTTTGAATAGATTTCGGTAGTTTACTGGATGCAAATGTGAGTATTAAGTGTTTTGTCGGTGTTTCCTTATTATCTCTTCTGATGATGATTCTCTGTACATAAGTGACATTTTGGCTCTTCCACCCCTCCAAAAGTTCAGTCTCAGTCAAGTCAAGTAAGTCCATGTCAGATACCACTCCGCGAGTTGTGTTCATTGATCTATGTGGTGTTATGGTTATTGGTATGCCACCGAAATCTGAAAGACGGTCTAGCTTTTCAAATTCTTCTTTGTCACGGATTTTGAGGAGAAGGTCTCCGCTAGCCATTTTGGTTACCTTGTATCCTGTGCCAAGAGTTTCGGTAAGACATCTAGCAACTTCGAAAGGAGAGACGGTCCTGGCTTGCTTTTCAGTTTTTTCACAGTGGATAACATGAAAGTGAGGATATGTTTCTTTTGGCTGGTTGAAAAAATTTATATCATCGGTGCGTACCCGCTTTAAGCCGGTACGATCAGACAGTAGGGGGAATGCTCTATGCATGCCTGTCTTATTTTTGTTCAGCAGCGTTGGCGGCCACCCGCCACGGAGCCCAACGAGGGGACGCTACAAGTTTGCGGATGCTGAAACCTGCAGACGCCAGCTGTACAAAGCCACTATAACCCAATGCGCCTAGACCAAGGTAGGCTATTTGCACAGGGTTAACCCTAGCCGCCAGGAAGTTTGGAAGTAAACGGAAGAGAGTAGAAGACAGGTCAGATAAAATGTAAGAGATAAAGACGAAGATGTAGGGAGAGAGAGATAGGAAAAGGCGACTGCCGATTTCCCCTGGGTAGGTCGGCCTAGGGGTGCCGTCTACGTGAAGCCGGGGCCAAAGGGGTGTGTTGCCTCTGTCGGGATGCCTTAACGGTCCAATCACCCAGCGTCGGCTCAACCCCCAGGATCCCCTTTTCCCCGGACATGGCAAAGCCACGCACGGCTAGGCGTGGGAGGGAGTCAAAACCCCCCGTTAGCTCGGGTCCGTGGTGTCGCTACACACCAAACGCCTACTTGCGCAGGCGCCCCTGCGGGGGTGCCTAACAAGTAACAAGGAAACGAGCTCCCTGGAACCATTCCATTGCTTTGATTTCGTGTCTCTTAACTAATATAGAAGAGAGGGCAAGCAACTTCTGGTTGTATTTGAGGTCTAATGGGAAACCCTGCGCATGCATATGGCCTTAGTAGTATTGAGATCAGTTGTATTGCGTTCCAACTGTGTCTATGCTGCATGGTCCTATAATACTTGGCTCATGTGTGTAGTGCTCACAGATTGAAACGTGACGTCATAACATTCAGTGTAACAACTTCTGAAGTTGATTGAGATAACCATGTCAAGACATACCAATACGACCACTATGTGTAATGTTGGCTCTGATGGTATGTGTGTGAGTTAAAATTACGCCAGCACTACACAAACTGTAGACTGTGTGGGTGAAACTATGCGCATTGCCAAGCCCTAAATTGCCCCATTCTAATGCGTGACCACTGTACATAGTTGTCTTGTACAAAGCTGTGACCACAAAAGGTCGAGGAGGGAAAAGAGGGCTGAAGCCCTTCGAAGTTTTTTTCAAGTATGTAGCACTATACAGGCTCCGCTTATGCAGGTCGAGCTTGTCATCCATCCATTGATTCCATGATGTGACATGACGCTCAAAGTCAATTGGTCAATACTAATCTGAAATGAGGCTAGCGATGCCCAAAACTGGGTAGAAATAAATGAACAAAATCGAAACTACTATAATTAACAAAAATAACCAAGAATAAATTGCTACAATGAACTGAAAACCGCCAGAAACATTTTGGAAACATGCAGCTAAAGCGCATGTCAAGCAAGAGTCACTGCGTCATTAGCGCCTTTGTCGCCATATCTGAAGGGGGGAAAACAACCAGATAGAACTCTCCGCAGACAGCATGTATAAAAACTGTCATTACAAGCAGGAAGTAGATAAAGCACAGCATAAAGCAGCGCGAATGTTGCACACCGAGTCTGCGAATTCGCCGAACAATATTCTACTCATGCCAGGGAAACATTACATGCGTACCTCGAACACTGACACCATTGACGGCTCAGTAGAAGGAGCAGAGAAGAATCACTGCAACAAACGGGAATCACTTCGCGCCTGTGCTATTTATTTCCTCGGGTTTAGAAGTAGTGGAACTGCATTTGGTACAGGATTTAGAGCTACGCGAATTTTCTTTTCTGCTTCTCCTTACAAGTGTTGCAGGGCTCATAGGCATTCGCATTTGAGGGGGGGGGGGGCAGTAAAGTTTCCAAGTTTATGTAACTATTCAAATATTGCTCTATTCAATTTCACTTCGATTCAAATTTCAATGGTTGATGATTTCGAAGCATTCGAGATCAACGAATATATATATATATATATATATATATATATATATATATATATATAAATCCGCAATTAACTCCCTGTAAATCTGGTTTCACTGCAGTGAAGGGGTGCTAAGCCGTGAAAGCATATGTCCAGAAAAAATCTGCACTGCCGCGAAATTGCAATTCAATGTTAAATGAACTTAATACCCTCATGTTGGTTCATCATTTTTTTAACTTTAAAAAATTCTTATACTGGCTTATATGCTCTAAGTACCGTAAATTTTGAGACATAGCATAGCGTATTTTTCAGGCAATCACTTGCATTATAGTGAAAGTGATATCCTGCTACCATTCAAGGTTGCTTCCACTTAGAACCAAAAATAATGCCATTCGCTCAGGTTTTGTTTGAATTTTATAAATATATTGTGCCATACCAAATACACCCTTTTTTATAATATGTGATATATACTATTTGAATATGATTCAAAATAATTTGACAGAAATCACTATTCACTTCGAATTTGCTTTCTACCTAAAATTCACTATTCGCACCAGCTTATGCTTTTCCCTAGTACCTCTTCTTTGGGCTACGTTCGCATCAAATGGGCCTAAGTGGAGGGCGGTGAAAATAGTTGGGGGGCTAGTATGGTGAAACTCTGGTACGGTGACAAAAAATTAAATGAATAGATGAGATTCGGAAGTTTGCTGGTATAAAGTGGCAGCTGCAAGTGCAGTACCGAGTTGACTGGCAAAACACGGTAGAGGCCTTTGCCCTAAAGTGGGCTGTGAGCTCCAGCTCCAGAGATAGTGGGTTGAAGAAGGAGGTCAAGCAGCCCTGGGTGTTGCCCCACAGTCCGGCACGGAGAGCATCGAACGCTCTGCTTGTATGCAGTCTTCTTTCTACGCTTAAAAGCTTTTCCCCCCTTTCGGCCCGCCTCGTCCACTCACATATGGCGCAGTCAGACGTCCGAAACCTGCTAGTCACAGTTATGATTTTTTTATGTGAATGGTTCTATCATTGGAGCCTTTCGACAACACCAATTTCGAACAGGTAATTGACTAATGATCGTGCAATCCGGCGTTATTTGGAAGGTACAGGCACTGGGCCTAATATGTTACACAACATCAAGTGGCTGTCTTCTGAAATCTTTCAGCCCCCTTCCCCATCCCTGTACAAAGTAGACGCTGGCATAAATCTCTGATGTTCTATCAAAGAGTCTCCCTCTCCCCGGAGGCTCCAGGTAATGGGTGATCTTGTTCCTCACCAGGCATGAGCTGAGCCGTGGGGAACAGTTCCCGGTGCATCTGGTGTAGCTCGGCCTCAAGCTCCTCCACGGTGAGGGGCAGCTGCAGCCTGTCAATGATGATGCGCGTCGACTCGGAACCTGCCGTGCCCATCACGGCTGACTTGACTTCCCACGTGTAGTCCTTGCCATAGCGCTGTGTCACCCGCTGCGTTGCCTCGGTGTATAATGACTCTGTGTCTAGAAAAAATGAGAAAAAAAAAAACGAGAAGTAAATTCAACAGCAAAAATGCACGAGACCCAGAATTCCAGTTGATTAAAAAAATTTTAAGACTATAGGTAAGCCAGCTTTGTTTTCAATACACGTAAGAGCTGTCTGAAGGGACATTAGGCTGAAACAATGAATCAGTTCAGATTGAAGCATTTTACTCTTAAAACTCCAATGTCCCTTACTTCACCATCATAGCTTTATTAACAGAGGTGAAAATCAAGGTCAGAGTCCCACTTTTAAACCATGCGCCGAAATCACCTGTGATGGCACAGATGTTATAGGGACGCCCCCCCCCCCCCAATAACGGCAAATAACAATTTACGTCAGTGGGAGATCAATGCTTGAGAACGTCTAGAACATCAATATTATCAAGAGCAGTGCTTTATTATTCGAAGGTAAATGTACATCACAATATGCGCCATGAGTGGGACATATTGAAATGATCCCAAAGATGTCAAAAGGTCCGAGTACAATTAATCACTAGAAATCAAATCAGATGTTATAAAAAAAACCTTCTGTGCATTACGGCACATAATAAAATGTTCCCTGTCCGTTTTTGTGTGATGCATGAAAAGAAAAAAGAACAGCTGGCCACTACTATTGGAAATTACACAAGTGGTTCAAAAAGTCCATTTTCGCCAGCTTGGGTTGGATAGGTGGTGCCATCTAGCGGAGCCCAACTGAACTTGATAAGCACAAAATCTCTATTACGAAAGCATTTCGCATGCTACTTATGGTGAGAATGCCTTGCAGTGACATAATTACGCATGAGTCGCATTTATTTCATTTTTTCACTCGAAATGTTAGCCAAATACAAAAGTTGTACAAAGCTCACAAGCACAAAGTGTCCCAAGATGTCGACGCCATCGTTCGGTAAAGCAGTATTTCTACAACCCTTTGCATATAACAAGATACCGTGCACACTCATAATCTCTCCTATAATCTTGCTGCAGTGGTGATCCTTATCTCAGTCAAATAGATACTAAAAGTTTTTGCCGCCAAGCTTTTCAGCCAAATTTAAAAATTGGGCCCTGAAATCGATAGGCACAACCTTCATTCTAGGCAGAAATTACGGAAAAATTTTGTATCTAACGCGTTTTTCACGAACTGCCGCGTTCAGCGGCCGCGCCGTGAACCTGAGAAGGCGATGTTTGGTGACGTCACACACACCTAAAACAAGCAGGTCAACAATGCCAGCCGTCGCCTGCATCTCTCGACTTGCTCAAATGCCACTTTGTTTCCAAAAACCAGTATGAACGCCAACAGCAGCGAACAATGCTTCAGGCTGGAGCAAAGCACTAGCGCTTTTGTGAAAGGAGGACAGTGGGATGAAGTAGAGATGGAGAAAATGAAGAGGAGGACAGAAAATCGTGCACCCTGCATGCTTCGTAGTGAGTGTGACATCACGGCCTGCACTCGCGAGCAGCTGCCGCGCACTAACAATCCATCAAAAATACAGCCAACTGCTCAAAAATATGAGAAATAAGCTCTGTATCGGAAGAGTGCCATCTTCTGAGTCGAATTTCCAAGTGTTGCCAATTTTTCCAATTCTCGCTCGATATCACCACTCAGTGGTTAGCACAAACGCGCTAAAGCTTGCATTCCGGTATCTTTGCAAATGCAATCGTGTATCCTGGTAACACAGTAACATTAAAAAGTATACATACAAGCTAAAAGCCCCCAATGCCGCATGCATGTGATGCTGCCGGATACATTAATGATGTACGCTGCCGAGCTGCAGCAAAGAAACCCGCATGACTTTTCATTGGGTTGGTTCCAAATTTTCCATTGGGTGAAACAAAATAAATCCCTACACTTGAAGCAGCTGAGAACTGTGCCTCTGCACCAGTCTCGCGAGTTGATGTTTTGTTTTCAGGTTCGCAGACAACATCCATAGCAGCAAGCTTCAGTGGCTGTTGTTGCTGTTGTGGCTCCCACTACTGCCACTCTGCTGCTACTACAGTGTCAGAAGCCGTGCAGTATAGACAGGCAACACTGGATATGGCAAGTGTGACATCAAAAGGCCCACTTTCATGGCGATTTGAAGTGCGCTAAAACGGCGTGAACCAGTAATACGCGATTTTATTTCAAATAACCACTTTCTTGGCCCAAAAGTAGCACTGTGAGGTTCCTTGATCGTTGCTTTAACAATCATCAACTTATTATTTGTCTTTAAGAGTCCCTCTAAAATGTACTTTTCATGTTTTTACAATGTTGGTCCACAAAATTTCTTGAAGTTGGGTATGCCCTGTCTCTGGCACCCCTAAAACAATAACTTATCCTGGTTTTACCAATGGGTACCATACTGGCCCTAGTAGACACCATCAATGTCAATGACATCATGGTGATTGGTGCGGGAACTTCAAGGTGGCATCGCCATTCACATTTACGATTTGTACACATTCACTCGAAAAGCCTTTTATCATGGTAAGCATGGTTGTGTTGGAATTCCAAAAGAGCAATTCACTAATACAAAAAAAAAAAAAGTTTGTTCTCTTTGGTGCCATTTTAATGCAAACGGCATTGTTAAGTTCACTTGGTTAATAGCTTTTGCTCACTTGTACTAGGAGTACATGTTGTTGTGCTTTCTAACAGAACAAATAGACTTACATGTTTTGAATAGAGGCTGCCTGCACTTCATGATGCATCAAAAGCCATGAACAGAAAACGGACAAAAATATATCAACACTGAGGTGACAGTAATATGTGTGATGGCCGACCAACTCTGTTTTTCTTGTCCTGTTGTAAGAAGTCATATTAATTATGCTTGCATAAGACAATACAGATAAATTGTGGCATTCTTTTCAAGTCTGAATAACTCAGAATCTTCCCCACTAGTACCATTCTTTCTTGGAAACTTCGAATACAAAAAACCACCAGGCTTATGCAGAACCCACAGCACAGTCACAGCAAAAGCTAGAAGAGCGGCCTTTCAGAGCCTTTTCTAAACACTCATTGGGTAAATGCTGCAAGCACACTTGCTTGACACCCACTACAGCATTAATAATAAAAATTTTAGGGTAGTAGGCTGGCATTCGTTATGCTATTTTTTGTCATTCTTCTGAGAAGTGTGGTAGCGGCTAAACTACCGAGAGTATTTTGTGCCAATTGTTCATACAGTGGCTGACAAGACGAGGAATTATATGCCTGAAGTGGGTATGCACCAGAGTTAATAGCTAAACAAAAACAAGCTTTTGTAATAGGTTGGAGCATTGGACGACCCACTCGTTATGCTATTCCCATTGTGCGATGACTGCCTGTTCTTTTGCTGTTTTAAAACGCTTTAAAGTCATATTAACGCGATTTTTTTCCCGACATCAAGCCAGCCTAAGGCAAGTTTGCCAACAAGTTCCAAGGACTGGCACGGTTCAGTGGTTGAATACTGGGCTGGCACCCAGTGGACCCGGGTTCAAGCCCCCCTGTGTCATTGGTACTAGGTTGTCTTGCTAATTGCGCGCAATGTGGTTACGGACACCGGCGGCAGACAACTATGGCACTGTGAGAGACCCGAGTTGCGATCTTATAACAACTTTTGCTGTAAAACAACAAACCACCAGGTGAAACTATTACCAGCTAGCGGGTGAAACGCTCGACCATGCCAGCACACAAAACTATGATGCACTTCCACGCGATTGACATAAGAAGATTTTCCGGACAGGAAGGGGGACAGCAATGTCGTCAAATACAAAACTCAACTCGTGCGTCGATGCCACGAACTCGCGACCAGCTGCTGAGCGATAGCAGGTAGCAATAGCTGAAGTAAATGTGACAAAAAAAAAAAAAAATGGTGGCTTTGACGTCGTCATAACTTGCTGCAGCGTGCTCATGTGAGAGAAGGAGGGTATCCCCAAGGGTCCCCTTTGAGGGTGCCAATAGCCTGATGAAGTCGATCACTCACACAAACTTCAAAATTTATTTAAAATACTTTCCAAGCTATATTCGCTGTTGATATTTTGCAGATGATGTATGCAGGTTCACGATCATTGCTCCCACAGGTTATTTCGGCCACAAAATTTTGTGTCAGTAATCTTCTAAATTCTTTCTGTTTTACCTGGCTATTTAACACCATATGCCTTTGTTTTCACTATACTAATTTTGAGGTTTACCTTTCAGTTGAATTCCTCAATAGTTTTTTTTGCAATTCATTGCCCTTGTTACCGTAACACACTCTTCACTGTAATAAACCACAACTTACAAATACCCATAAGTTAAGTGGGATGCATGATACAAAAGATGGAGGCCAACAACCCCAACCACGGACTCAACAAGGGCTGCCATTTTCTGTTTATAACCACTTGTAACTGTAAAAAAACACATAGAATAACTAGAGCAGATAAACGTGAATGTAGCGGTACGGTTGCTGATTTGCGAAAATATATACAAAAACGAAGAGTTGGTAAAACGAAATGCTGCTGATGACCACGTAGTAACTTTATAGCCTGAAACTGCAGGCACCCGAACGACCTTCAGCGCCGCGGGCTGGAGAAAGGGCGCGAAGGAGAGTAGCTCAGTCACATATGTGCCGAGCAGTGACCAATCACGATAACTTAATGTTCGCACATTTATTTATTAAGAAGCTTGTCATTGCGCCCCGCACACAGGCACCATTGGATGCTGTCAAAAAGCGCAAGCAGGGGCTTGCTTGCGCATAGCGATTCGGATTCTAGTGACCCAGATCGAATAGCGCAGGAAGCAGACTGAATCGAATACGTTTCCAACAGTGAACGGTGGTTCTTAAAATCACTGTGCAATGATCTTCACAGTGTAGTTATCGTAACACTAGGAACTCACCAGTAACTTATCAGGTCTCATCAGAAACAAATGAGCACTCTAAGCATTCAGATAACACATTGGAGTTAACAAGTGATGTGAAACGGGCTGCTCTGATGACATAACTTGTCGCGTTGCGGAAGCTTTTATTATTTGACAGACGCTTAGGCCCGCGTACTCGTAGATGAAACTCGCATCACACTTTTTCACCAATTTCGTGCTTCTTTTAGTGCGTCTGAAGCCTGGAGACATGTGTGAACTATTCTAAAGTATACACAGATTTACGAATAGCAGCTATATAATTCGATATTGAAAACGTACAACTCTTCGCACACACACACCGAATATCAAAACATCGTGCGATTGCGATGTTCTGTCACAGCGAAGATACACTTGTATTTACGGTGGCCCTGAGCGTTTAAAATCTGGGCACAATTGTAACTAATGTTTCAAAGGCATTGATAGGAAGCAAGATAAATGCAGTGCATATTTACCCAGAAGCAGGCCATCCATGTCAAAAAGCACGTGTGTTACCGGCTTGAAGGCGGCCTTCGAATCTGTTGCCATACTGCGTTCACTACTCAGCAGCTTCTTCTTTAAAAATAGCCGACGATGTTTTGTCAAAAGCGATTCAGTACTACCGAAGACAACAGCAAGGGGGCTCGATTTCGCTGATCTGTTCGCCAAACGGGAACCGGCAATCTAAAATTGACCCACACCGGCATGCGGCTTCATCTACGACTCGTTTTGACTCGCTGTGGGCTCTGCGATCTTTGGTTTTCGAACAACGGGTAAAGGAGCACTGACATCAAATTTACTGATGCCAAGATTTTTGCATCAGCGATTAGCTATAGACCCCATAGCACCAATTCGCGACCTAATTCAGAACTTAGGGATGAACTTTTACTTTTACTTATTTATATAACTGGCATATCACTGGTATTTAGCACTATTCAAAACAGCCGGCAATCCCGCCAATTTTAGCGCAGGCAGCACCAGCAGTGGCGCTACCTCGCGGTCACCTCAAGATCACGCCGGCGCTGACCACTTCACAGAGAATAGTGACGTCAGGTTCAGCTGCTCCGCTAACATTTCAGGTTCGTTCGATTTACCTGCACCGGTCGGCACCGGTGCACGGCTGTGCACGCGAAGTTCGGAAATTGTGCAGCGTGACTTAGAAGTGTGGCAGCTTGGGCTAGTTGGTATGGCATGACGATAGTTATAGCGCGAGAACAAAACGACGACACAGAGACAAGAAGGACACGTCTTTCGTGTCCTTCTTGTCTCTGTGTCGTCGTTTTGTTCTCACGCTATAACTATCGTCGTGCAGCGTGAGTTCAGCGGTACAGGCACAGCACGACACCGGAAACAAATGACGATGTGCCGACAAGGTGTTGGCCTTATTTCTTTTCGCTTAATTTATACCGTTCAGCAAACACTGATCTATGGCGAAACGCACATGCGGACAGTTTATGAGGCGCAAACATCTTGGCAAAACACACCGCATTTGTAGAGGCGGGTACGGCGCCTGAGCCACCTACGTCTAAGTGCTGCGTCGTCTGCTCAGCTGCACGCGCGCCTGCACCAAGCCAGCACAGTCAGCGAAGGAGGTGCAGGAAAATTGTGAACCAGTGCTGCACCTTTCGAAACGAATGGCAGGGTTTAGCGGTCGTCATTACTGCACTGCTGAATCGAATGGCAAGGTGCAGTACCTCGTGAACTGGTTCATGTGGTGCAGGCGAATCGAACGGACCTTTCGTCTGCTAGGCGGACACGTTCAGTCATGCCTTGACACCTGCATTGTTGTCGTCGCCGTACAAAGTGTACGGCGCAGTGTTCTGTGTTCTCGATTCTCGCTCCGTCAATCGACGTGATCGGACGCACAAACAAATCTTCCCCCCAAACAACCCTGGGGGGAGGTGGTGCCGGGACAGACGTAGGATGATGATGGGTTGATGAGTTAAGTGTGACTCTGGGACAAAGCGTTTCGGCGCCGCGTCTCCTTCCTATCTGACAACGGTACCATGGCCCGCTCCCGGTGGGACTAGCGCCGCCCTTTCGTCGTCGTTTGAAGGAGGTTTTGGCTGGTTCGAGTGGGACGAGACCCGCTGTTCGCATGCGGTGACCCGGCGGACTCCCGCACTGGTTTTTCGCGGGTATTTGGCGAGTTTTTTTGTCCCTTTTTCTCATTTTTTGTCAGGTTAGGCTAGCTTGTAACTTACTTGGTAGCCTCGTGGTAGTTTTACCACGATGACTACCAACCTTCTCTCGCATATTAGGCCGCGGGTGCACTACGCGCGCGTGCCTAAGGGCTTCGGCAGTGCCGACATTTGCAGGGAGCACGTGAAGCGTTTCAAGCTCAGTGAGTTGAAATGTGTGCAGGATTATGGGATGGGGAAGTTTGAAGTGACATTCGCGAACGACGAGGTGAGTCGGCGGTTTTCCGACGATCCAGTCCTCGCCATTCGCGATGCGAGGATCAGGTTCCAGTACCGAGGTGTTCGGGTCAAGGTAGTGCGCGTTATTGGCTTCCCGGCGGACGCGGATGTGCGCATCATAGCGCAATTGTTAGAAATATATGGCGTTGTTTTGGATGTGTCGCGAGAGGAATCGGCGTTTCTGCCGGGAGTCTGGAGTGGCATCCTCGTGGTCAGAATGGAGATGCGCAAGAGTGTCCCCAACCTCCACCAGGTGAGGGACGTCATCGTCCGGTTTGAGTACGAGGGCGTCGCACGGGTTTGCCGGCGGTGCTGCAGAACCGGACACCATGGGGCGAAGTGTACTGTACCACAGTGTGTGCGCTGTGGGGTTTTTGGTCACGACCAGTGCGCGCTCAAATGCAATGACTGCGGCGGCGATCATGGCCCCTCAGAGTGCAAGGCGCGGACGAATTCGTCGGGCGCCCCGCCTGTAGCCTCTTCTTCCCAGGAGCAGGTGAGCAGCGTTGCGGAGGACCGGGAGGCTGCTCCAGCGGACGCCGAGGGCTCGACCCAGCCACAGCCGGAGCCCATTAGCGAACGGGCTCCAGGAGGGGAAGAGCAGGAGGCGGGGTTGGAATTAGCTGAGGCCCCCATCCTTCCTGCTGCCGCCGAACCGTCGCCTGCCGGTGCTCCCGAGACCGGCCCTGCTGACGCGCCTGCTGCCGAGGACAACGAAGAACCCATGAGCTGGACCGACGCTGTCCGGGGCAAGAAGCGGTGCGCCCGCCGATCACCAGGGCCCTCCAAGGAGAGCCCGGCAGCCCTAAGGACGACCTCCCGGTTCCGAAGCGACCCGCAGCGACAGAGTCTGACGAGGAATCTACCTCGTCGACTGTCACGGGTAGTGCCATGGGTGAGTTGCACAACAGTTCTTCTTGCGTCACCGCCGGAAAACCCCAACTGCTTTCTTGTCTCCTCGGTTCCCATGGCCGCTTTTTCAGTCTCGACGACGTCCATGATTTCGTCGTGCTCGTCAGCCCTTGGAATCCCGGTCGCCGACGCGTAAGTACGGGCGCAGTCGGCGTCCACGTGTCCGTAAGGCCGGCATTTCGAGCAGCGGGGCACCCTGCAATCTCGACGCACGTGGCCCGTGCCGTGGCAACGCAAACACTGCATCGCCCGCCCGGGAACGACGACGAGGGCCAACTCACCGGCGACTCGCACCTGGCGGGGCAGGTCACCCACCTTCACTCCCGGCTTCAGCTTCAGCAGCACGCTTCTCGTTGTCGATCCTTTCTCCCTCATGCCTTGCACACGCCACCGTTCTCGCGTCACTTCAGTGACGTTACCGAACGCGGTGAACGCTGTCCGAATGTCCTCGTCTTGGGCGCCGTAGAGCATTCAATGCAGGCGGAGCTTTATTGCTGTTCTTCGGGATGGATAATTATATGCACCGGCGGCCCTTTACCTTCAATTCCTTTAGCGCGGCCAGTTTCCTTGTCGCTTCTCCGCTGGTGACGGTGACGGCCCAGACATGGTTTACCTGGTGCACCCCTAAGGCGACAACGTCGGGAAGCACTCCAACGGTCTCGAGGGCGTCTCTAAAGTCCTCAACTCAGTAGGGACGCTCACGCACATCACCATGCAAAAACAACGTGTTCAGTGCAATATGGCCACTGGGCAACGTAGGCAACATGATCTCGTAGTCCATATCATCTGCACCATTATTCCCGTTTTCGCGGCCAGCGCGGGCCGCTATCACAGCTCGTCGGAGCTCATGACTCCACGACCGTCGGCTTTCGCTGCCGGAAGAAGAATGCATCATGGTATGGCCGATGGCAAGAACAGGTCGTTCTGCAACACTGCTTATAACAAACTATAGGCGATTTGCATCTTGCCAAGTTACAATTAACCGCTTATACAGCACGTTAAATGCTCTTGGCTGAAAGCTTGCTCTGTTCCTTCGTTGGGGCGCACAAGTACCAGTGCACTAACTTTTACGCACGGATGTGTGTGCGCTTGCGGGCCGCCACCACCATCGTGCTGGTGAGTGATTTTCCGTAACCTAAAGATTGTCTGTTGCGTTGGCTTTTATAAAAAAGTGGCACACGAGTGACCGATATAAAGCAGGAATATTTGGAAGGCCCAGAAACCCGCCACGGTGGTCTATAGTGGCTTGGCACTCGATGCTGGCCTGCAAGTCGCGCCGGGTCGAATCCCGACCTCGGCGGCCGCATTTTCGATAAAAGCGAAAGTGCTTGAGGCCCGTGAGCTTAACTGCTGTTTGGCGCACGTAAAAGCAAACAAAAAGAACCCACGAGGTCAAAATTTCCGGAGCCTCCACTACGTAGTCTTTCATAACCATATGAAAATTAAACCCCGACAAATATGATATGTTCTTAAAGCTATTGTACATACCGGCAAGAAAGTCTGTCGAGTAAAGGTATCGCACGATCTAACTGCCCTGCGCGCCACAGTTAAACACACGTGCGCAGTGTTACACCTGTGAGTCCACACCGAACGTCAATGCCTCAGCAAAAGACGATCTGTGTCAAGGCCAGCAATCAAGCCCGCCTGACGCGACCAACCTCAACGACGTCATCAAGCGACGGCACCGGTTTGTCACGCAACGCACCGCGAGTGTCCTCAGCGCGCGAGCCTGTTTAAGCAACTGGCGCCTTCTAGTCTGGCGAGTCTTACGCAATGCGTGGCAACATCCCTCGTCCTTGGTGCAACCACGCGCAGCGGCGGGCCCCATTGGAGGATTCCGACATCATGGCAAGTGGCCCTTCTGGTTGGACATTTAGTTACTCAAACAATCTACCCGCTGCCTATAAAAAAAGCCCTGCGGCGCGTCACCAGCAGCTGACCTATGGGTCAGAGAAGCCTCTCGTCGGTTTGAGCCCCTTCACAGACGGCGCGCCCGGTGTCCTTGGCAGCGACGAGCTTCGTGGCGCCCATCGTAACCTCGTCGACGGTGCGCCTCGTAACAGTGTGCCAGAGAAGACATCTCGGCTCTTCGAGTCCCTAAACTGTCGGCCCCAGTACGGAATTTGTAACGCCTCTATTTTTTTGCTGTACATAAATCTTGCCTTAACTCACCGTCGTCTCGTCCGCTCGTCTATCAGCTCTGCGCAGAAGCAGTCGTGAGCTGAGTAACACACGCTACCAAACGGCTGGTGACCATGTCGGCGGAGTTCGGAGCTGTGGCGCCTTCGGTACCGTGTTGGCGTCGCCGTCTTTCGTAACAGTGGTTGACAGCTGCGGGATCGGCCGGCTTCAGCGACATCGATGCGGTGAGTGCCTGATGTTTTCCTCTCAGTTCACCAGACCACACTAGCACAGGTTATAGTACTTTAGAGAAGGGCTGTGTGTAGCATTAGAGTGAGATTTGATCGTTTCAAGCAAAGTCGAAGCACTTTGAAACGAAAGTTAATGCGGAGGGTGTAAACACGGGAGTGTTAGAAATTGCTTGCGCGTCTTGCTAGTATACTTATAGTGGGTACGGCAAGTAGATTATTAACAGGGGCAAACAGCAAGAGGCTACTGTGAGCGATGGAGCACCTTAAAGTGAAGGAAATCATCGAAATTTGTGAGGAGCTCGGCATTACTTTGGGCCGTGCAAAACGAAAGCAAGCGATCCTTGAGATCATGATGGATGAAGTACTGACCGAGCCCAATGCTGCTTAGCTTCGGTGTTCGGACGAGAACCGGCGCATTCAGCATGGTATGGCCGATTTTTTTTTTTCCTTTATTGCAGCATGTAACATTCAAACAACAGCAAACACACTCGGACTGAGCTGCTAGCTCAATTCCAAGCAGATGAGCCATTTACCATACATACTTGAATGGTTTCAAATGACATAGTTCATCCATAACATTTAGCAGTTCATCATTGTAGCAAAGTTTTGCAAAAACTTCTCGCAACTTGCATATATGTTCAATATATGGCCGCGCGTCTAAATCACAATGTCTGACTGCCATGCGGCTTAGCCATATGCTGTTTAAGCCAAGGAGAAAGAACATATATTTTAGTAGGCCCGGTTGTATTGCTAAAAATTGAATCCCATGTGAAGTGAGAGGAAAATCTTTCCTAAGTGTTCTCTGTAGAACATTCTAGAACAAAAATGCGTCCCAGCAATCTATTAAAACATGCTCTACAGACTCGGGCTTTCAGCACAATAAGCAGTGTGATCCCCACGGTAAAAAATCGCCTTTTTGTTCAAGCCACGTTTTAACCGGCAGCGAATTCGTGTGCAGATTATAAAAGAACATTTTAACTTTAGCTGGTATGATCATCTTTTTAACTCTTTTTAAAACGTCTTCTCCTTGGCTTCCACTATACATAGAACGATACAAAGGAACAGGAAAGACAGTCTCTCGACAAACATTAGATAAATACTCCAAGCTAAATCTAGATCTAACAAATCGAAAAGCCACAACAACTTCTCGAAAGGTACGGACACCATAACGGAATTCATCATTCGAGGTAACAATAAAGTTCGGCAATGCTGATGCTAGCCTGATTTCAAGGAATGTACGTAAAAACGGATCTTGTTGATCTCGTTGAAAGAGAAACCTTGATACAACCTGCCTCAAAAATAAGTGTGGCAAGGCTACACCACCTCTTTTTAGTCTCAAGAAGAGGTTGTTGCGGCTTGTCCGTTCGTACTGGGATTGCCACACGAAAACAGCAAGAAGCCTATGAATCCTCTGAATATTGATCCTGGAGCATGACAGTGCTTGCAGCAAGTAAACCAGCCGCGATACTAAGAAGACGTTGCATATTGTCGCGCGAGCGAAGATGGACAGATCACGGCTTCCCCATTTCTGTGTCAGAACAGATAGCCCTTTGGTTTTCTCGGTCCACAGATCATCGTTGTTCTTATACTGGTCAAGCGGAACACCGAGGTATGTGTTAGGCTTGCTTGACCATTTGATCCATTCATAAACCGTTGGAAACGCTTTCCAATCCCATGCCACAGCCCAACACACTTGTCTATGTTTACATTTGAATCCCGCTACAACGAAATTGACGGGGCCGACGCAAAATTTCGTTGTCGCGATATGATGAAATACATACGTGACACGGGAGTTGCTGAAGCAAAAGAACAAGCTTTAATGCCAAAAATTGCTCAACTTCGCCTGTTTCCGCTTCTTGCCAAGCGATGGCACAACACGACTTTCGCACGCTGCCAGTAGAGCCATTGCTTCATCGTCGTCCTGCGACCCGATGCAACGCCTGATGATATCGAATGCGTCCAGCACCTGTGAAGTCGGTGGTAGTGCGGGATCACGTTGCGCGATTGTGTCATCATCGTCCGACGAAACACCATCTTTCTGGACGCTCTTTATGATGTCTGCGTCCGTCATTTCCTCGCGCACCACCAAGCAAGAGTCGGCTTGCAAGAACTCGCTGATATGTACGTCGGCGGGCACATCACTTTCCTGCAGGTCTGCCCAAGCGACTGCGATTTCTTCGTCCTGGTCCAGCAACCTGTCCTCATCGCGGTCTGCGTCGCCATCGTAAGCTTCAATCGCAGAATCGGAAGTCTCGGCGCACTGTACTGCGAATCCGGCATGGCGAAAGCAGTTTGCGACTACGGCGCTCCCCGTCTCGCACCACGAAGCAGCGATCATTTGGAGCGCCATGAACAAGTCGATTTTCGTTTCGCGACCCAACCGAGTGTTCAAAATCAGCCTTTGGATAAGGCGCTTGCGGTACGCGCACTTGACGCTTTGGATGACCCCTTGGTCGAGGGGTTGAATGATGGACGTGCAGTTCGGTGGCAAAAACTTGAGCTGCACGTTCTCGAGCTCCGTGTCCTCAATGGAATGTGTGGAACAATTGTCTAAAAGCAGACAAACCTTGCGGCCTTGCCTGCCCATGTCCCGGTCGAATTCCTCGACCCACTCTCCAAAAATTGCACGGGTCATCCACGCCCGGCTGTTGGCCACGTACTTCACTGGAAGGCGCCGATTTCCTTTGAAGCAGCGCGGTTTTGCGCTTTTGCCAATGACCAAAAGTGGTCGCTTATCTGATCCGTCCATATTGGCGCACAGTAGCACGGTGATCCTTTTCTTGCTGTGTTTACCTCCTTGACAGCGCAGCCCCTTAAAATCCAGGGTCTTGTTCAATAACATTTCGTAGAATAGACCGGTCTCATCGGCATTGTATATGTCCGATGATGCGTAGTCCTTAAGGATGCTTCCAAGGCTGGCCGACGTCCACGCGGCGGCGCCGTCTTTATCCGCCGAAGCGGCTTCACCACACAACACATTGCCGATGATGCTGTGGCGGGATTTAAATCTGTTTAGCCAACCTACGCTGGCCTTGAAATCATCAATGCCGAGCATGCAGGCAAAATCCAGCGCCTTCTGCCGTACAATATCGCCGCTAAGGGCAATTTTCATGGCCCGCGTCTCCACGAACCAGGTGTAAACAGCCTTGTCTAAGGCTTCGTGCACTGGCTGGGTCACCTTCTTATGCTTAGCTGACGTCCCTGAAGCTAGAGCTTTGCCTATCGCGTCCTTGCTCTTCAATATAGTTGACAGAGAGCTCGCCGCAATCCCGAACTCTTCAGCGATGAGTGCCTTCTTCTTTCCAGCTTCAGCCTGTGCGATGATGCGAGCCTTGTCTTCGAGCAACAAAAACTTGCGCTTTTTCGCCGGCTGCGCCATCGTTGATCGCGTTACTGCACCTTCGGGAAACAATCAAACAATGACCAAAGCGTGCGATCGCTCGTTGTGAAGAAGCTAGCCCTGGTCAAGCCGCTTGAAGCGGAAGCCGTCGTCCGAACGCATCGTCGCACTCTACCGGGATTGGCCTCGCATCTCCAATTTTGTACGTACGTACGTACACATAAATTGAAAATTCCTGACATTGAAACCATTCTCACAAACGTTATAAAAATGATTAAAAGTACTATAAAAATCAAATTAATGCGTGTTGTTTGTACACAGCCACGATTCAAAACGTTTCCGACGTTTCTTCTGAATCTACATGAGAGCGCGTTGCATTGATTGCATCGCCATCACTATCGCGGTATGTATGGCGGCTTTGTGTTGTTTACATTGCGCAGCGAGTCACCGTCGCGCCCAGTATGCACGCTCTGAGCAACATCTTGTGTGTGTGTGTTTTTTTTTAAATGTTATTAAGGTCCATGGTTTGTCAAGGCATTAAAACGCTTTTGAGAATTTCAATAAGCTGTAATTTGAATAATTTTTCTCGTGCCTGTTCCGCAAAAAACTTCGTTGAAATGGAAATGCTGCCGTGAAGTAGTTCGTATTGGAGGGAATTTCGAAGCATTATACCCTATGGGACATCGACGGGGAATGGAAAAACCTTCGTTGTGGCGGAAATTTCGTTGAAGCGGACTTCGTTGTGCCGGGATTCGACTGTACAATGCTACTAGTAGCGTCACAAAACCTTCGTACAATGCTCATGGAGGAGGGTATACTCTCCTGACTGGTACAAAATATTGCAACATCATCAGCATATGACAATATCTTCACCTCACACGCTCCTAAATGAAAACCCTGTATATTTGAATTTTTTGTAATGGCCACACACAGAGGTTCCAGGTACAAAGCAAATAATAAAGGTGAAAGTGGGCATTCTTGCCTTACTGATGAACATACATTAATTCTTCTAGTTAACTCGCGGTTCACAATCAACTTGGTTGAACAATTGTCGTAAGCCATTCGAACACCCTTCAGTATCACAGAACCAATGCCAAGATGTTCTAACAATTTAAACAAAATGATATGACCAACTAGATCAAAATCCTTCGCTAGATCGATTTGCAACTCTTTTGAAGTCGGCGTCACAGCACTCCAATATGCTTTGTGTTGCATGTATGTTCGTAAAAATTGATCTTCCTCTTTTTCCACAGGTTTGATGTGGGCCAACCAGTGTACATATGACTGCTTGCAACTGCATCGCCAGAACTTTCATTAGTATTTTGTAGTCAACATTCATCAATGTTATCGGCCTATAACCAGACATATATTTCTGTTTCACAAGGTCTTTACTTTTCGGGATCAGAACAGTGTGTGCTTTCTTGAATGAAGGTGGTAGGCTACCCTTGTTAAAAGATTCAGCGAAAACATTTTGTAAAACAGTGGCCAACTCTGCCTTGAAAGTCTTGTAGAATACTACCGTTATCCCATCTGGGCCAGGAGATTTCCCGTCACGCAATTGGTCTATAACTATTTTTATCTCTCCCGCAGTTATATCAACCGATATACCTTATGTACCTTGGTGATCTAGCGTTGGCAAAAAAGCTTTTAAAATCTTTTTCAAAAGTGGCTTCTTTAGGTATACGATTGGAAAATAATTCGCGATAATATTCTGTAAATGCATTCTTTATATCTTTGGGTTTAGTCGTTAACTGACCATTATATTCAATTTCTGTGATGTTTTCGGCACGCGCATACTTTTTTTTCCATAGTGAGAAATCGCTGATTAGGCATTTCATCTGCAAGTAACCTGTCTGCTCGGGCACTTACAACCGCACCTTGGAATTTAGCGACGTCGATGGCCTCAAGTTTGTTTTTAATATATCTAATAACTTCGTCATAAAATCCAGGTTTTTTTGTTTCTGCCTTGCTGTATTCCACAAGTACCTTCTTTAAACTGTTCTCCTCTACTCGTACCTTGTACCGTATTTCTGCAGCCCTTTCCATGGCGCACAGTCACAGTAGATTCAAAGAATTTCCAATTTTCCGACCTGTTACTAAATTCAAGGGTGTAAAGTTTGTGTAATTCTTTTTTGATACAGTTGAAAAACTTATCATCACTAAGTAGTTTGGCATTTAACTTCCAAAGGTCCCATATAAATGCACGTTTAGGCACTTCTTTTTGGCCTAAGGAAAACATAACAAGTGAGTGATTGCTGAATGAGACTAATTCAACACCATAACCATCACAAACGTTTGCCAGCTCTAATACCATGTAAGCTATGTGCAATCCTGCGTGGCTAGATCCCTGAAAGTGGGTATAATGATGCTGCAATCCGCCTTTAGCAAAGAAAGCAACATCCTGAAGGGAATACTTGTCAATACTCTCTTTTAGGTAATTAGCACTGTCATCTTTTCTAGCTAAGCATCTAGATCGATCATCTGCACTGAACACACAGTTATAATCACCAAGAACGACAAGTAGCCTATTCGTTTCAAAATACGAACACAGTTCCTGAAAAAAAAAAAGCGATCACGAAGGTCTGTTGGTTCGTACAAGTAAATTATTCTAAATTTCGCCTCTTCATAAGTAAAATCGCACAAAACAAACCTTCCATACAAAGATGTGACCATTGTTTCTTCAGCAATGCCTACGCATTTCTTAAGAAATATTGCACACCCTGCAGAAGTACCTATTGCGTGGCTAACACACACATTATAACGCGTGCTGAAAGGAGCAACCATATATTCGGTTCCACTCTCGCTTTCGACCTTTGTCTCTTGGACAGCAAGTATGTCCAAGTCTTTTTCTTCAATGAGACGCCTAACCTGACACTGTTTACGCTTTGCAGACAATCCATGCACGTTAAGCGTGCCTACGCGAATCGGTGCAGTCAGACGCATCATTTTCAACAAGTGTGAACAGACTTGCATGGTTAGCTCGACACCACCAGTGCGCACCCAGGCTCAAAGCCAGAATGCTCACTTCCTGCGCCGTTCGCCGCGCGCAGGCGACGAGGACGCCGATCGAGACATTGCAGATGGATTGCCCTTTAGACCACCAGCCTTGGGCGACGGATGCTCGTGGCATTGCGCTTGCCTTCTCGCTTGGCAAGGTAGCGTCTGTCCTTGGGGTTAGTGCCGCGCTATCCTTCGATAGGTCACAGCCGTGGTGGTGTCCGCATTCCCGTTGCTCCACTGCGTCCTGGTCTTCAGTCGTCTCCTCGTTGGTAACCTCAGGCTCTGTCAGCGAACTTTCAGAGCGCTCAGGTTGTCCGCTTGGTTCACGTTGCGGAGAACAGTCTTCCGCCATTGGTGCCGCAGTCTAGGCCTCGTCGGCGTCCATAATGTTCTCGTGGCTGTCGTCTACAGTAGGAGACGCACCAATAACACTGGCATACATTCTAGCACAGTCCTCCCTGACGTGCCCAAAAGCACAACATCCCGTGCAGCGTGGCGTCTGACAATCACGTCTGATATCCCACGCCTTCGGCACCTCAGGAAAAGTGGCGCTCGTCCAGGCACAACGACAAATACAGAACCGTTGTAGAACTTGAACAGATGTAGTTCCTCGGCTGACACGCCTTCATTGAGGACCATCCGTACAACTCGCGTTGTCTATTCTATGAACTCAAATCCAGGAACACGCCACTCGTCAAGACGCACCTCCTTCACTTAACCAAACTCACTCAGAGCCTTTCGCAGAGCCTTTCCTGGGATGTGGAAAGGCAGCCAGTGATTTTTCAGTGTATTTCCTGCTTACAAGGATCAATATTTGCACAATATCCAACTTTCACACGTAAGCCACCTTTGCCAACCACACTTTGCTTGTCACTTGCGAAACTTGACAAGTCAGACATGGCTCATCTGGAACGCACCTATACCACTGACAGCCTTGAGCATGCCGGCTTCTTCAAGGGGCTCCTGGAAATCTTTGATTCGATAGGGCCTTTTCGAAGGGTCTCCGTGGAGAAAAACACAGTTTCATTCCTTCACCAGTCGGCAAAATCGGCAGTAAAAAGCGGTAGCCCGGTGGAGGGCACAAAAGACCTTCATCCTGGCCAGCGTTGGTCATTTGTTCACCTCGCAAGGAGCGAGCCATCCCGCGTCTGGTCTAGTCGAGCGCCAGATGTGGGGCATGGTATGGCCGATGCTGAGAACAGGACGTTCTTCAACACTACTTATAGCAAACTATAGGCGATTTCTATCTTGCCAAGTTACAATTAGCGGCTTATGCAGCGCGTTAAATGATCTTGGCGGAAAACTTCGAAGGTGCGTGATTATACCGTCTGTTGTTCTCCGACCGAAAGCTCTTTCTTTCCTTCGTTGGGGCGCGCAAGTACGAGTGCGCTAACTTTTACGCACGGATGCGTGTGCGCTTGCGGGCCGCCGCCACCGGCCATGCTCGATAAGGGATCTTCCGTAACTTAAAGGGCGTCTGTTGCG